CCACATCAGAGAATACTATTGGGTGGATATGAAAAAGATGAATGAGATATATCGATATAAGACAGAAGAGTACTCTACGGAGGCTACCAACAAGTTCAATATCTACCCTGATCAAATTCCTCTATGGTTAATGGACTGGATTCCAGAAGAAGGCGGGTATTTTATTGGCAATCTACAACCAGCCCACATGGACTTTAGGTTTTTCACTCTTGGAAATCTTTGGTCCATTGTTTCATCATTGGGTACTCCAAAGCAAAATGATGCTGTATTGAATTTGATTGAAGCCAAATGGGATGATCTTGTGGGCCATATGCCACTTAAGATATCCTACCCTGCCTTGGAGTTTGAAGAATGGCGTATAATCACTGGCAGCGACCCAAAGAATACGTGAGTTAGCTGCCTGTTTATATTTGCTAGTTGTCTTGTTCTAGCATCTAATTTGTTCATGATCAGTTTATCACTGAAATATGTTTGTCTTGACTCCTACAGCCCATGGTCATATCATAATGGCGGATCCTGGCCGACGCTCCTGTGGCAGGTAACCTTTGCTTCAATAACACTATAAATATTTTGTGTAATGCTCAAGAATAATGACTTTTTTATGAAGTTAGATGTCATGATACTATCATCGGCCTCCTTTGTTATTGGGTCGGAAGCTGTTACAGTTTACGTTGAGTTTTTTTGTTCTTGGTTTTCTGTCTAAAATGCTTTTTGTATCCTATTTCAGTTCACATTGGCATGCATCAAGATGGGCAGAATCGAACTAGCTCAGAAAGCAGCTGCTTTGGCTGAGAAGAGGCTTCGTTCTGACCGCTGGCCCGAATACTATGATACAAGGACAGGGAAGTTTATTGGAAAGCAAGCGCGGCTTTACCAAACATGGACCATTGCTGGGTTCCTTACAACTAAAATGCTGTTGGAGAATCCAGAGAAGGCGGCCTTGCTATTCTGGGACGAGGACTACGAACTTCTTGAGATCTGTGTTTGTGCACTTAGCAAGAGTGGCCGGAAAAAATGCTCCAGAGGCGCCGCTAAGTCTCAGATTCTTGTATAACGAGTCCCATTCTTTCAAGGGCAGAAAGTTTGGCCTTTGTACTGTACAGCGACACGTTTAGAATAGCGTACGAAGAAGTTGGATAGCGCAGAGTACTCCGATTCAAAATATAGCATGAAGGATGTATTTTTTTCATGCATCTGATACTTATTATTTGTTTGGTCGTCCGATTAATCGGTCTAAGTTGATCGGAATACACAATTACGGTGGGAAATATGTACTTTGTAACAATTACCACATGTCTACTTGTATAACAGTTACATGACTCTATCTTATACATTACCTTTTGGTTATTGTTTATTGATACTTTTACCTGAGTTATTTTATTTATTTATTTTTTTCGTATTTTTTATACAAGCGATATTAAGGCATGGAGAATTGAGCTTCAGTCTAAGATTTGTTTGAGTCACGTTAAACTTCAAATATTTATAGTTTTAAGCCACTGTGGTTCGGTTGTGGTTTGGAACTAGGCGTGTTGATTGTTATGAATTAAGGTTCGAATGAAAGGGCTCTCCTCTCTCCCTCGGTCTCCCTCCTCCCTCACACACACACAGGCGCAGATTTGTACAACAAACTATACAGTCTCCTAATATTTATAGTTTTGTTCGTCAAAACAAGTCTTAACCCCACAAAAGCGTCTTCCCCCAATCTAAACAAGCAGAGCTTACGAACCACGGCGAAGGCGGTGCATCTCCTGCAGTCTCATATAGTCCTTAATGGACAAGGTCGAAGCATGCCCCCTCCCGTCATCCAGCACTCGACGCCCGACTGTTGCTTCGATCCTTTGTTTCCTCTCCATGTATGCAATCCCAGCGCCCTGAGGTCCACCGTACTTCTGCAGTGGAGCCAACGAAAATGGCAGCTCGAAGTTGTGCAGCATATTTGTTTCTGTCCCTTTGTCCACAGGAGCACTTGTATCAACCAACTTCCCTGCACCTGCTGCTGCTTCCAATGCTGCCTCTGTTGCTTGCATACCAAGCTGTCCCGCTACATTTGCCTTTTCCTTGTTGCTGCCCTTACCAGTAGTTCCATCTGTTGCTTCAGCAGCTTCATCGCCTCGTTCAGCAGCAGCTCCATCGCCTCCTCCAGGCCTTGCAACATAATAATTTCTCGATTGAGTCCATCTTCTCGAGAACGGATCATAACCAGCCTCCCCTGATTTCAGATTCATATTCACTGGTTTCAACCCTGAAGCATTTTTAAAATTCTCGACCCTGTTCTTCCTGTTCATTTCAGCTAATCGAATAGCTTTGCTATCTTTCCCCTGAGTTTGCCTGGATGCTTCTAATTCCTGGAGCCTTGTCTTGATCCTCTTAGCTTCTTCCTCGTCGCCTTTACTTTCTGCAACATCCAACTGCCTCCTCAATCGTTCCTTCTCAACTGCAATGTTAACGGGCCTTGCTGAGGCCTTTTTCTCCTGCAACATTTGCTTCACAGTAGTTGCCGAGTAAATAAATGAATTTGATTTCAGAAGAGCCTCCTTCTTTTCTAATACCTCCTGTTTACTTGGCATTTGGCCAGCGGTACGCCGCACTTCCTTAAACCACTGTTCAAACTCGTTCTCCTGCGGAGGAGAATCTGAGACATTAGCCATCGGCCATTTGGAAGCAGAACTTTCGCTGCCAAAAACACAATTCAAATATTTATGTGTGACTTTATCCTCTAGCTTATACTCCCGGCCAGGATTTGTGGCATCCACATTCTGAACCATGCAGAGCCTGTAGACAGAACCTTCTGATGATCTGCCACATCCAACCCTAACAAAGCAGCCCCCGATTAACTCCTCAAAAAATGGTTCCATGACCCATTTTCCAAGTTTTGACCTTGGTATGGTAATATCCCTTATGTCCTGAAATGTGGGTGCCTCTGAACGTTCCTCATCGCTGTCAAAGAATTCATCATCCGCTTCCTCTTCAGTAGGCAACCTGTCCAGAGTCTCGATTTGACTGGAGCAACTCATATTACGCTTGCTTGGTGATATATCCTGGCTACCTGCACCTCCTTTTGACGCGTCCCTCAACTTATGGTGATCCTTTGAGTCTTGTTGCTTCAGACGTTTTGCTCGTAATTTATTCAATGCATCATCCATAGTGGCTGACTTGTCAGTAGCCCTGGCTGATGAGCGTACACCGCGAGAGAATGGAAGAGGATCCTCTTTCCTTGATTGTGTAGATATAGCATTGCCTCTTTTTGATCTCAACTTTTCCATGAAATCCTTGCCGCCTTTCTTCTCTGCTCTACTTGTCAAAATCATCTCTCTTTCAAGTTCACTCATTGCTGCAAGCCGTTTCCTGTCAGCATCATTCTTGTAAAGATCGGGGCCAATATCAGATTCATCACTACTTTCACCCTCATGATCAGAACCATCATCACTAGAATCATGTTCTTTGTCACTGCCCCTTTCAGTAGGTTCAAACCTCTTCTTCAGAGGTACTTGAGAGGGCTTCTTGCTTCCATGATCATCATCTTCATCCATGGAGTTACTTCCATCATCAGAATAGGAACCTCCATGTTGCTTTCTAGAAGATGGAAGCCGGTACTGCTTTTTCCCAGCTGAACTAGTTCTTCCTGCTGCCTCAAGGAGGTCACTTTCCAATTCTAAGTCTGACATCCCCGTTGTCGGTGTCTCTGCTACAGATGTCTCTCCTCAATTGGTTGTAAGAGCGACTAGCTCGGCCACAAGAAGAAAGATTAGCATATACTTGGGAGATGTTTCACTAATATAACATAAGAACATGAAAACAAACTGCCAAATAAGAATTGTATTCGAGTTACAATTGATGATGGTAATCTATGCCCGTCTAGGAAAACCAACTTATCGCAGTATTAGAGTGGCACGCAGAATCTTTCTCAAAGTCTATGATAGCAATGCAAGTGAAGTTGACATCACACTGAAAGAAGATATTCAGTAAAAGTATCGTGCACATAAATACGAATCCTTGATTCTTTCATTTAAGAAATGGTCATAACAATGCCGTTACACAAACAATTTAAAACATCGTAGCAATTCCATAATTTGCACTTTAAGGATAGATCTTACCAGTTTAAGCATTAATCAAAAACTCATACGCACACTGTATATACGTGCACAAGCGCGTGCACACGCACCATAAGAAAGAGAGGTAGAAAGCAGGTTAACAATGCAACCGTTATCTCACTACGTGGTTAATCAGAACAAAAATCTTTATGAGACTAACCTAGACTTTCTCAGAAAAGAGCAATACGCAGATTATCAAATACATTCTACATGCTCTTTTCTCTCATAATTTATTAACAAAATCGTCCCACAAATCCCACCTCATTCAACTGATAAGGAAAGTGGCAAACATGACAAACAGTTACTAGTTTCTACTTCGAGATTAATTCACTTTCCACATAATTTACTCTCTTCGAGGATTCCAAATCCGAATGGCCCTTCAATATATACTAAAGTCAAGGTTTTCAGACATGCTAATCAAAATGCCACCTAAGTTGCTAGCAAAAACAGTTTTCTCAGTTCGCCTAACGAATATTACAAAGACAACATCAGAAGGAGAAAACAAAATCAACATCGATAATTGCATGGTTGTAAAAACAAATTGCAAAAATAAAAATAAAAATCTTTTCTCGGACAAGAAATCGGGGAAATTACAAAGGTAGCCAACTTTGAAACTTGTTGAACACTTTTAGCCAACTTATGCATTCATGCTCTTCTCTCATAAGTTATTAAACAATCGTCCACGAATTCTACCTCATTCAACTGATAAGGAAATAGACAAACAAGACTTTCCAAATGCTTACAGAAGTCAAGACTACCCAAAGTATAATCACAATTCCATCTAAATTTCTAGCACTAACAGTTTCCGAAATCCACCTACTAACATTACAGAGAGAAATTTAGCCACCTTCTTTCGGATTTTAGAACTTTAACCACTCGAAGGGGTTTCGTGCACTCGAGGGCACCCGATCAAATAGTGTTTATGGCAGTTCTCAGTGCTTGCAGTCACGCTGGCCTCGTTAACGAAGGCTTGAGATATTTCAAATCAATGATAAGTGATTACAAAGTTACTCCAGATCAGGACATTTATGGGTGTGTGGTGGATTTGCTAGGTCGTGGCGGAAGAGTTGAGGAGGCTTATGAACTAATTGAGAGTATGCCATTTAAGCCGGATGAGTCTGTTTGGGGAGCATTTCTCGGAGCTTGTAAAGCACACGAGCTTCCACATTTGCGAAAAGTGGCTGCTCAGAAGTTATTAGAGTTGACACCAAATATGGTTGGCACGTATGTGATGCTGTCAAATATTTATGCAGCTGAAGGCGAATGGGGGGAATTCGCAAATACGAGGAAGATGATGAGAGGTATGGGGAATAAGAAAGAGGCAGGACAGAGTTGGATTGAGGTAAGAAACCGGGTTTATAGTTTTGTTGTGGGAGATAAGGTGGGTTCTCATATAAACTCGGTGTATGGAGTTTTGGAAGTTCTGATTTCGCATTTGAAAGCGGCAGAGCACATAAATGATTTAGATTGCTCTATACATGACCTAGATGATGGAACTTGAACAGAAGCTGAAGTCAAGGAGTTGAAACATGTTTCCAACAAAAACAGAAGGATATTATTTGAATGTCCAAAGATTCTAGTCAACGAATATGATACTGGACAGCCTAGGGAGGACCGGGAAGGACGCAAACCTGGTGTACAAATTATTGTGCCCAGAGTAAACGCTGGGTAGCCAAGTGTGGAGCGAATAGCTGCTGAAAGCCTAAAAGCACAAAGTCAGTTCAAGACCTTTCTTGCAAGGGGGAGACTAGCTTTGCTTATTTAAAGCCAATAGAAGCAATAGGAATTGTTAAGAAAAGGAAGAATTCATTGTTCAATAAAGTTGATAGCTTTGTGTAAGTGGAGATGTAAAATATGCAATTTCTGGTACCAATTAGTACTTCGGCTTCCATCTGAACAAAAAGAATGGAGAGTTCTTCATTGAGCTATGGCAAACCTGCAATGTTATAAGAGCAGAACGAACATTAGCAGCAATAAATCTGAAAGAATAAAAAAACAACTTTTTAACGTCTACTGTAAAGAATTGCTTCGTTATCTCACTGCAGTACAAGGTCTCTTAAAAGCAACGCTCACAAGTTTCTAAAGGTAAACGTTGCTCATCATTACATTGATTTGTTTGCAATCTCTAGCATGTTGCAGGTAAAATCAAGTCAAAGTTTTGCTGATAAATGTTATATACCAGTTCAGCTGCATTTTCCACTTGTATTGTAGCCGTGAGTAACTTTGCCTTTTGGTGATACGCCCAATCATTTCATTTGTGATGTGTTTTTCAAACACCCAGTGTTCATCCTCTTGTCCAACATCATATGCGCGTGCACTGCTGCCATCCTTCACCTCTTGAAGGCTTGGAGCTAGTATCTCCATTGATTCTCTTTGCCGATGAGCTATAGTGTGTTGTCTCCGCACTTAGCTTGAATGAAAAAGCAGAATGTTGGGTGTCACCCCATGTCTTTGCAGTTCTAGGTAGAATGGAGAAGTTCTTCTAACCAACTTCGGTCTGTCATACATTCAGCTACCAGAAATCATTGCAAGAGCAAGATCCCTGCTTAAAGTGGTGAAAGAGGTGCCGATCCCTCACCACTATATCACGATCAAAAGCTTTTGAGATCAACTTTGCTGCCATGTGACAATCATTACATATTCGCAAATTCTTCATTATTCGTATAGGTGATGGTGGACTGATAGCGATAAGACCAAAGGCAATTGCAAGTTTCTCACTATGCCTGGACAGAGCGGTTTCCTTCTCTTCTTCATCAATGTCAAAGGAAACCTCATTCGTATCTGGTGCGTAACCTTCCTTCTTCAATCTCTTAGCTATTTCATCCAACATAGCGTCAATCTCTTTTATTCGAGGGTGTTTCTTATCTCCTGCTAGAAATTCATGAACTACTCCGTCTGCTTCAATCATGCTACAACCCGGGGTCTTTACCACCCCATGTTGCATCATTGTTCCCCTAATCTCATGAACATCATCCCAGTTACCTTTTGAAGCACATATATTGGACAACAATACGTGGAACCCGTCATGGTCAGGCTCAAGCTCAATGAGCTTTCTTCCTATCCTCTCGCCCCTATCATGGTCTCCGTGTTTCTTACATGCCCCTAGTAAGGCACCCCAAGTAGCAACATCCGGCATCATAGGCATACTCTCAATGAGTTCCTCTGCCTCCTTGAGCATACCCGCACGTCCCAAAAGATCAACCATGCATCCGTAATGCTTAACATTGCGTTCTATCTTGTGTTCTTGGACCATGGAATCAAAATGTCGACGCCCCTCATTTACTAACCCCATGTGTCGACAAGCTCCAAGAACTCCTATAAAGGTTATCTCATCATCTCTGAAAATGTTTCAAGTGACTTCTCCACCAAGCCATTCATCGCCAACCCAAGAATAAGAGCATTCCAAGAAGAAACTCCCTTTTCTGAAGTCCCCTCAAAAACCTCCAAAGCGTTTTCCACACACCCACATTTCATGTACATGTTTATAAGGGTAGTGCCCAAAAAGACATTAATCTTGAGACCATTTTTCCTTATATAAGCATGAATCCACTGGCCTAAGTCAAGGGCGGCCAATTGAGTGCAAGCTGATACAACACTCACCAAAGTGGTCTCATCGGGCCTGATTCCAAGAAGCTGCATCTCCTGAAACAATGCCAAAGTTTCTGAGAACCGGTCTTGTTGAGCATAACCTGATATCATTGCACTCCACGACACGATATCCTTCTCGGGCATGGAATCAAATAAAGTCCTAGCGTTTTCAACTAAACCACATTTCAAGTAGCCTGATATCATTGAGTTCCATGATATCTGATCCAAGTTGTAGGCTGCATTGAACAGTTTTTGCGCGGCCATTATTTCCCCACAATTCGAATACATGTGAATAAACGCATTTTGAAGATTGACATAACTTTCAGTTCCAATTTTCACTACTAATCCATGGATCAATTTCCCTGTCTGGACAGCTAACAAGTTTGCACATGCCGAAAGAACAGTGACAAGCACAACCTCATCCACCATAACTCCATTGGCAACCATTTCCAGAAACTTAGCCAAAGCCTCCTCATACATCTCATTCTGCTCATGACAAGAAATCAACGCGCTCCATGAAACCATATCTTTCTCGGGCATTTCCTCAAACAACCGGCAAGCCTCATTCACGCAACCTGTCCTGCCAAACAACACGATCATAGAATTCGAAGCAATGGTGTTCCTCTCCGGCATCTGATCATATACAAACTTCGCCTTCTCCACATCCCCTGCCCTCACATACCCCGCCAGAATCGAATTCCAAGCCACCGAATTCAACACAGGAATTTCATCAAACAACTTGCGTGCGTCCCCCATGTTCTCACAAACAGCATACATATTGATCAACGTGTTCTGAACATAAACATCCGAATCAAAACCGGTCTTGAAAACATGATCATGTATCTGTTTTCCTTCAAAACCCGAAACCCGAATAGCGCAGGCTTGCACTAAAAGCGGGTAAGTGTAATGGTCAGGACCGGCATTCTTCTCCAGCATCAGTTTATAAAGCTTCAAAGCCTTTTGAGGACGGTTTCTCTGTACGTAAGCTCTCATCATGGTGTTCCAAATAAACCCATTTGCGTCGTCGATTCGATCGAAGATTTTCAGGGAGAAATCGACGTGGACGAAGTGTGAGTCGGTGCAGAACTTGAGGATTCTGCTTGCGGCATATGTGTCATTGATGAAGCCGGTAAGGATCATCTGAGAGAGGATTGGATTGAATTGCTTGAGATTTCGGCATTTCGGCAAATGGGTTTCCAAGATCGAGAGATTTATGCTTGGTTTCGACATGGGTTTGGGATTCAAAGTCGATTTCGCGGCTAAAGTTAGCGGCTTTAATTTGTATAAATTCATAAGGGGAAGAAAAAAGCTTGAAGAAAGACCCTAGTGTGACAGTTCTTGGTAATACTTTCCGTCTCCTTTTCTTCAAGCCCGCCAATCTTCATCCATTTAAATATTGACACGTCCAGTTTAGTAATCAAACTTGATTCAATGGTTGCGAACTAGTAAAGGACTTATATGAAATCAATATTATTTCTACTTAATCAAACTTGATTCAATTCCGATCCCATTCCAATCCGGGCAAACTAGTAAGACTCATACGAAATCAGCGTTATTTTATTTTTACTATAAAATATGGCACATGTACACCGTTATGATAGGTTCTGTGCTCATATCACACAACTTAGGGAACAAATCTGATATCACATTTTATAAACAATTTTTGGCACACATTTTTGTGAGGCTTTATTTAGTAATGTATTTTAATGATCTGAATCGTTTATCCTTTAAATATTCCTTCAAAAAACTAAAATTCACTCAAATTTGAAGTTAGATGATTGTTGGATTAACGGTTTGAGGTTTTTTTGTATAAGCGTAATCATTCATTTTCATTATTACAAATAAATATTTTAATGATTTTGAATATGTGTAGTTAAAATACATTACGAAATAAGCCCTGATTTGGTACTGAGGTTATTCTGAAAAAAATGGTTATCAAAAAAACTGAGAGCTTTTTTATGTTTGGTAAACATTCAGCTTCAGCTTTTTTCACAATTTTGGATGAAAAAAAAACCCAAAACACAAAGCTGCAAAACCTAGCTTTGAAAAACCAGTTTTTTTTCACATTTATTTTACATAAAAGCTTATCAAACACTATAATGCTGCTTTTTGTTTTCAAAAACACTTTTACAAAAAAATTTACCAAAAACTCTACTGCTTTATTTCACAGCACAACAAAAGCAGTTTTTTTCAAAGCAAAACAATATCAAACCAGCCCTAAATTTAACAAAAAAAAAATGTATGTCAAAAATTATTTAAAAATAATAATTGGTGTCATTATCTAGGAAGCAGAAAGTGAAAAGGCCACAGAAAAAAGCTAAAAGTGAAAGGCCAACTAAACAGTGAACTTTTTCCGACTCTGAAATTAAGCATCAACCCCAAGAACCCCAGAATGCCCCCGAAACGCAGAAACAAACCCGACCCGCATTTCGACACCCGATCCCCCGGCAAGAAACGGGCAGCTCCTCTGGAAGAAAATGGAGGAGAGGTAATAAAATCCTTTAATTTCTGATTACTTGGTCTTTAATTTCTGATTACTTGGTTTTTTCATTGTTTTTTGTCAGTAGAATTTTTTTCTAGGCTATGCTGCATGCTGGTATCATCTGTTTGGTTTGAAAGAAAATAGCCCAAAGAATGTATTTTTCTTTCATTTTGTTGGAAATTGACTGAGGAGTGAGGACTCAAACTTTTTTCCCTTTCAATATATCTGGATTTTGTATTTTTATTTTTTACACTTATATCTTGAAGTTTGAGCATATATGATATTCAGTTTTTTTAACGATCAATTGTAAAAGGTGGAAACTTTATGCAGAATGTATGTTTATATAGCTAGAAATAAGTGGGAATTCCTGTTCTTGAGCCCTAATTTGATCAAATGTAATTTGGGTAAAAGTTTGCAAGGGATTTCTTGATTGGGAATGTGGGATCACTTACATAAATACAGTGATTGAAAATCAGTAGAGCAGGACCCGAGTTTGAATCATTCTCTGTGGATTAGAGTAGTTTAAAATATTGCCTTGTCAAAAAGAAAAATAATTGAGGTTCGATTATTTGCTCCATTAAACTCGAGCACTTGATTATTGTCTTGATATTTGGATGATTATGATTCAAAAGAGAATAGAAAATGATAAATTTGCAGTCTTTCGAGTTTTTACCTTGCCAAATTTGGTATGTAAGACTTCATTTGCATTAAGTGTCAGATTTTTCGGGGCACATTGTTTTCTTTTTACTGTTGGAATTTTTATCACATTTTTGTATAGTTCACATTTCACAAGCCCATATTTTCTAAATTTCAGAAAGTGCCGATTGTAACTCAAGAGAACTTTACCAAGGGAACACCGGTTGAGGTTTGCAGTGACGAAGATGGTTTCCACGGTGCTTGGTTTGCTGCAACCATAGTGGAAGCAGTGGGCAGTGACAAGTTCCTTATCGAGTACCAGAGCCTGAGGACAGAAGATGATTCGGCATTTCTGAGAGAAGAGATTGATACCCTGCACTTACGACCTAATCCGCCAGAAAATGCTGTTGAGCATTTCAGTTTGCTTCAAGAGGTTGATGCTTTGTACAATGATGGCTGGTGGGTGGGTATGATCTCAAAAGTTCTTAGCGGCTCAAGGTACATAGTCTACTTCAGGAGCACTTATGAAGAAATTGAATTTCAACAATCTGAGTTGAGGCTTCATCAGGACTGGATTGGTGGCAAATGGGTTATGCCTTCGCGGGTATGAACTTATACCTATCTAATTTCAGCCAATGCTTTTATTTCTGAGAGAAACCGACCTACTTTTATCACAGAGGATGCTACTGTGGAGGTATTCCAAGCCAATCAGCACTGCCACCCGTTTTAACCTTCCTACATGACAGTACGTGATTGGCTTGAGATACCGCCTTAGTAGCATCACCATTGCATGGAAGATCTACTCCTCAGTGATAGGGTTGGGAAACTACCTCCGTGGCATCCCAGGTGTAGGTAGTTTATGTGAATCAGTTCGAGAGTTAGGAAAATGGTTGAGTTCTACTTCTGTAGCATCTTCCAAAAACACTTGCCAACTTGCAAAATATAACAAAGTGAACGAAAATTTGAAAAAAAAAATGAGAAGGGACTTGTTCAAAGTTACCACACTACATTTTTGGCTAAACAAACTGTGGTCCAGGTCTCAAGTTTTGATCCAAGCCTGAAACCAAAACTTAAAAGCTAACTTCTATAAGGGTGTATGAAAGTTGGTTCAAACTTGCCCTATCATTCAATGTTTCAAGCTAAGTGATGCATCACATCCCTGTTTCCATTACGTATAGCATATGGATCCGCATTTAAGCTAAACTTGGAGCCCTATGCCTAAATGTCAATAAATGGAGAGGTGCTTTTAAATATGACCAGCTGAATTTTTTTGTTCATATATGAATAAAGATTTAAGAGATGCAGCTCCACCTGCCAGCTGAAAACTACTCCATCTTCTTGTGTGCGGTTTCAGCGCCAAATGCTGATGATAGCAATGGCTGACTATGAGCACGGTCAAACATTTCATTCTTTCAAAGATATATGTATTTGATTTGAGCTTTGACTAATTGTTGACTGATTGTGTGTTCTTGACAGGCTTTAAAGTTGTGATTAGTAATGACTAATCACTGATTACGGGTGAAAAACGAATGATTTCCTAAGACTACTTGGAGAATCAGCTACGAAATGATAGAGGGAGTTCACCTTGACCGGTTATATATGGTAGTGGAGGTTAAGTTTCTGTCTTATGCCTAAACATTAGTATTATCTAGTGATGAATTAGCCTAAAAAATCACTTAAAACTTGGCCAGCTAATCTAAAAAACCTTGAACTTGTAGCTGGAGATGTAATTCTTATTTTTACCGGCTATCGGAATTTGGTAGACTGTAATTTCCATTTACTGGATCATTTGTTCTAGCTTTCTTTCTGCATATGAGAAGGGCTTGCTGTTGCCTCCTTGTCTTTCACTTTGTGGCAAGTGTTGACTGTTCAGTTGGTTAGAACTTGAAAACTTTTCTTTTATTGTGGTTACATGCGTACTTGCTGTCCGTCTTTGAATTTATTGAACTGCAATGGTTTCTGCAATTTGGTACCAAGCATTGAATGGGGTAACCGGCTAAAAGCAAACTTCTCAAATCAATACATTTAGTCCTCAGTTTTCCGCACCATCCTCAAGTGATGTTGCTGTTCATCATTCTATTTATCACCGTTGGATGACTTTGAACTTTAAGATCTGTGGAGTGGATACACATAAATTTCTAAAGTTAAATCCATCAAGTGGTACTAAATAAGGTGAGTGAGCATTACCGCTACTTGGGAGTGATGAGCAAGAATGCACCCATGTTTTTTGACCATATTTGTAGATCAAATGATATGGTGGTTGATAGTTGGATACATTCGTTAATGATTAAACAAGGAATTCAACCATAAATTGTCGCATCACGTGGTCTATAAAATATAGTTCAAATAGATGATCTGTTTAGTAGCGGAGGTTAGTCTTTTGAACAGGTAATTAAACCATTCAGTGCAATTAGCTTACATTTCTTAGATGCAAAATGTTTGTTATTTTGTGCCGTTCTTTGGTCCAAAATTCAAAATTTCACTTTAATGGTTGTTAATCATTAATTTGAATGTCACAGGAAATTAATACTAATCAATAAGCAAATCATCTTTCTTACTTAACAAGGCAATGGGATACCCCTCATTCAGTTACTGCAATTTATTTCAATTTATTTTTTACCAAGAGAATTGTTATTAGCACTTTAAAATTTTCATTTTGCACTCCAAACTTTTTATAATTATAAAGAAAAATACACTTTGAGTAATGTAGAATAAGATTTTTGAAGTGTAACAATTTCCTTTCCCAAACATTGCTTCCCTTTAATAAAGAAAAACTAATGAAAATGGCTTGAAAACTTTGAGTTTTAATGATAAGGACAAAATAAAGGGTAAAGTGAATAGTACCAGGATTGATTTTTTAGTGTAAAAATATGATGTTTCGTTAAAGTGAACAGTACCGGATGCTTTTCGTTAAAGTTCCCATTTAATAATGCTCTGTTCAAATAAGAAATGCGAAAACAGAGTAATTTTATTTATTTATTGCCCGGAGATGGAGCAATTTAAAACAAACATTCTTAGACCAAATTATCAAAGAGACGTTGCATTTGTTGTCTTCTTCCACCGCTGCAGATCAATTTGGATAAAGCTCTTTCAAAACCACCTAACGTAACGCCTTAAGGGCAATACCCACACGAAAAAACAAGCACGTGATCCAGTCAGTTGATTAAGATAATATATTAATCTAGTTAGTTGATTACGACCATAAGTTACTCAGTTGACTAAAACGTTGCTCTCTAATTCAAAGCATAAACTCCATAAATTAAAACAGTTTAAAAACAAAGTCCACTAAAACAGTATATCGTTGCTCACTAACTCAAAGCATAATCTCGATAAATTAGAACAGTTTAAGATATCGAAGGCCATAATCTAAACTTAATAAACAAAGAAATTGTTCATAAAAATAGAACTTTAAATATTATTTGATTATACAGTACCACTATTAAAAGGACTTTCACACCAACAAGAACAACATAAGAACAACAGAAAGGCAAGAAGCCCTACAAATCCCAAAAGACCCAAAGGCCCTTTACCTCATCCCTCAAACCTCCACAACTCCCTTGACCTCCTCCTTCACCTCCTTCCCCTTCCCATCCTTCTCACAAGCACTTTCCTCAACCTCAAAAGCACTTACAGGAAAAGTCCTAAACAACCCAGCAGGGGTCTTGAAGGTGATCTTCCCAGTTGGAGGGTCATCAACGTAAATGTCACTGAGCTGCACCCACACCAAGAGCTCCTTGGTCTTCACCCCTGTCAGCTTCTTGATCTTGCCCTTCTCAACAATGGCTGTGACCTCAGGGGCATAACTGACCAACTTCCCAATTTTCTCAAACTTGTGGGTGTAGCTCTTCTTCTGTTTGAGCCACACAAAGCCAGTTTCTCGGATAATCCCACACTCCTCAATGTCCTTGAGGGGCAAGAGGCCATTGGGGAGGGAGATTTCTGAGAGAAGCTGCTTTGCTTTTTGTTGGCAGATTTCATCTCCATGGTAGAGCTCATCTGCTTTGGACTTGATCTCTGCTGTGATGAGAGAGGACATTTTGGTCTTTTTCTAATTTTGTTGGGGATTGGTCTATATTTTGTGAAGGTGGCGAGTAAGTTGAGAGTTGGGGTTGGGATGTTTGAAGTGGAAAGTGTTGGGGTTTATGTAGGTGGGGAGATAGTACTTTGCCCTTGTAGTTTGTCTAAATCACCAAAATGCCATTGGAGTTTTGCCCTTGTATGTCCAAAAGAATTGCAAGATGTGCCATTTGGGTTTTTTTTTTTTTAACAAACTATATTATTTATACATTTTAGGTTTGATTCCTAAGGTTTAGGGTTTAGGTTTGATTCCTAGCGCTGGTGAATCACACGATGGTAATCAAATGGAGGCTAAAATGTCTTTGTAAGTATTTCCGGTGCCCGAAAGAGTGGACTGATATTGTAAAGCCACCGGTTGATCTGTTTGAAAAAAAATATTTATCATCCTTACATTCATGCAAATCAAACGTGAAATCCATCCAACCAAATGAATACAAAGGATAACACTCTAAAAATGTGATCATACACACACTCCTTGCTGTACAAATTTCCCCACATCCGCAAAATAATTATCACTAAACCAAAAGCTAATTGGTGATTGATTTGAGTTAAGCCCATGCAACTTAATCCATAAACATCTAACTTAATCCATAGTGGTGGAAATGTGTTGTCATTACATGACGACGTGAGTTCGAATCCCGTCGGTAGCTAATTTAACATCTAACTTGAAGAGTAGGGGCCTTTAGGATCCATCATGCACACATTTGGAAATGGATCCTCTTCAGATCCCTTCCTCCTAATCCACAAAATTAGGGAATCCGTTCTGTTAAAATTTGATTCAGGGAATGAAGTTATTATAACTTTTAAAGTGAGCCCCTGTTTATAACAATTTGATCAAATTTTAACAACACAGATTCTCTGATTTTGTGGATTAGGAGGAATGGATCCGGTCCATTTCCCACACATTTATGGTGCAGTTGGGAGGAGTTATGGTGAAATTAAGGTTGGGAAGAGGGGGGTTGAGGTGTAGCCACTCATATAGCTCCACGTCTATTGTAGTTGGGGAACGGTAACGAGATGGGAGAAGAACCGGGAAACAAAATCACGTCCGCTCACCTCACCTACACCCCTTTAATTATTCTTTTTTTTTTTTAAGATTTTAGTACATGCAACAATAAATAATTCAAATTGGGTCCCTTCTTTTACTTCAATTTTGCTGCTACCTCCCATCCAACCAACTCTTTATTTGACATCTAAAGATTACTATTTACAGAAAAAGACAATGACAAAGAAAAATGTAGTTCAGACGCTGGCCACTGATCTAAAAGTTTCCGTCTAACGTTAGTTAGGTCTCGTTTAGTGTCGCTAGGTGACTGACTACTGTTATGATAAATTTCTATTTAAAAAAATAAGAAATGACGTATAAATATGCTTAGATGGTCACTTGGTTTGTCTAAATCACAACTCTTATTTAGACAAAAAATAAATTATTTCTATTTTGATTTTATTTTTTCAATAAATTGAGAATTGTTAAATATTTGGATGAACACTCATTATATGTTTGTTCTTTATGTTTTCAATATGCTCTAATACTTTAAAATTGGTCTCATCGGATAAATATTCATTACGATGATAAAGTACACAGAAGATAGTCCCATGGTAAAAAAAAAATTTGAATTTAACCCTCGTGGTATAGTCCTTTAGCAAATTAATCCAAAAATGATTTTTCTGTTAAATGTCCGTTAAATATAGAAATAAAATGTACTTTAACGTGTGCACACCTTCTTCTTCCTACTATATTTTGCATGGATTTGGATCGCATCCGGATCCAAATTGTGGGAATTATAAGGATCTTCACATCTTAGCCATTCATCATGCATCGTGTAGTAAAAAATTATTTGACTTTTTTTATTTAAAATTAAACACAAATAGTATCTGATGAAAACTGATCACACAATATATGATGAACGGCTAGAATGTGAGGATCTTTAAGATCCTCACAAACAAGGTTCTAAAAGACATTAGGCGCTCGTCGGGTGCGGGTTGGGGCCTAGGTCCTAAGGGGCTAGGCGGGCGCCTCGGCGGACTAGGCGGATTTAAGTAAATATATTATATTCATGTAAATAAGTATATGTTTATACTTAAAATATATATAAATTCATCATAAACTACAAAATAGAATGACATATATATTATGAAGTATTAGAACATAATGAAAACATAGAGAACATGCATATAATGTGTGTTCATTGAATTATTCAACAAGTCTCTTACAATATATTGAAAAAAAAATAAAATGAAAAATGAAAAATATCTATTTTCTATATAAGCTAGTTGCAACATAGGCAGGTCTAGACGGACGCCTTAGCAGGTTTATGCGCTCTTTCTTAATTTTCAAATACTTAAGCATTAATCGGAACGGTGACTAACCGTCTATGCGCTAGACGAGAATTTTTAGAACAGTGTCCACAAAAAAGATCCGGAGAGGATCCTTTTTTTTAAGATTTTAGTACATGCAACAATAAATAATTCAAATTGGGTTCCTTTTTTTACTTCAATTTTGCTGCTACCTCCCATCCAACCAATTCTTTATTTGACATTTAAAGATTACTATTTACAGAAAAAGAAAATGATAAAGAAAAATGACAGAAAGAAAATAAATTTCAAAATAAAAATTATTTATTTTCTATTTAAGTGAGTTGAAACCTAGGCATGTCTAAGCAGGTGCTTAGGAGGACGTCTTAGCAGGTTTAGACGTCATTTCTTAATTTTTAAATACTTAAACATTAATCGAAATGGTAATTAACCGTCTATGCGCTAGACAAAATTTTTTAAAATAGTGTCCACAAAAAAGATCCTGAGGATCTCTTCCTAATAGAGCAACAACTCAAGAAAGCCGTACATAAAAAGGGACAGCTATTCGCACACGCTTGTTCATCCAAATCTCCACCGCGCCATAAGTCGGTCGCCTTTTCCAACACCAAGTGAACGTCTAGTAACAAACAAAAAACAACACGTTTGCACAAACAAATTAAGCAAAAAATGGTTCAAGAATATGTAAAGAGATTGTATTGATAAATTAGTTAATTACCTTGGAATAAGACTTCTTCCAATTCACCTTTTCACCGTTCGCCTTTTCCAACACCAATTCACCGTTCGCCCCAACTTTTTCCCCAAAACAAAATATCCTGCAAACCCACAAGAATGCGGGTCTAAATTTTTTAAACTAAATGATGTGGTTGTTGATGATCAAATTATTACTTAAGTATTGATTAATGTAATTATTTTCTATTAATGACACATCATTTAATTAAAATTTTGATATCCCTAGCATTACCCAACCCACAAATATCAACACAAAACCCACTTCAGAATTTCAATCAAAATCCATAATTTAAACAAAAATATGACAGACGCCCAAAACAAGAACAGCACCGGGAGCCGTGAGCATCAAGCCATTGGATTTGGGGACTAGTGCTTCTGTATGTGATGTCACTGCACTCCCATCACGGTGCACGGCAGCCCCAATCCCACACCCAGAAACGTGTCATGGAGAGGTGTGGTTGGATCAACTCGATGCCGCCAGATGTGAACACCAGCAGCGTTTTGGAATTTGAGATTGTGATTCTGAATGAACTAGGTTGCTGGGATTCGAATGTGAGTTTGGTTTTGAGTTTTCTGTCGAGAAATGGTGAGGTGCGTTTTGATTGGTGAGGACATAGCTTGGCCTCTCCGATGAAGGACCATGTGCTTGCTGGTATACAAGATGCAAATACAACATCCTAAAATGGAAGAAAGTGAGATTACAAAGAGAGGGAAGATGAAGGTGTACGGGTCAAATTACATTTTTATTCTGTATTTAATGAACATTTAACTGAAAATCAACTTTGGACTAAATTTGCTAAAGTTGCATACCACCACGAAGAAAAATGATGTTACAATCTAAGGGGAGAATTTGAGCTTAGACGTTTTTTCATATTGAAAGATGAATTTAAAAAAAACTAAATGTTTATCGAAAGAAAAATTCAAATTTAGATGCATGACGATGCAACAGATTAATTATAATAGAGTTAGTCAATTACGATACAAAAGTTGGGCACCATGAGAAAGGGTCTACAAATTCCCCCATTTTGCAAAAAGTATTACGTAAATAAAAGTATGGGACAAGCTTGTAAACTTGGTTTACCCAAAAAGGATAAAATGCCCCATCTCTATAAATTTTCTGTCTCCAAGATATTTTCTTTTAAGTGCATGTATTCATAAAGTCTAGGATGATGTGTTAACTTTTCTTAATTTGTAAGATTTTAATTTTTTTGGAAGTTTTGGCAATTGTTTTGTTATTTTGGATCCGTTTCACATTATCATTTGGTTTGAAGTTACTTATTTTTCACTACATTGACTCTTGTCAATTTAAATTTCAAAGACAACATTGTTCGAGCAAAAACAAATGAACAAACAAATTTTGTTTTTTGCTTGACTATAAGGATGACGATGACATTTTTTTTCAAAACATTTATACATCAAATTGAATAACATAATTTTTACATCTTAAGTTCGATTTCTGGTACTGGTGAATCATGTACTCGATGATGGCAGAGGAGGTTGAAATGCCATTTCGGCCTGCAAAATAGTAGATTGTCGTAGCGAAGTTACCCGCTAATCCGTTCTTTAAAATAATGAAATATTTATAAAACTTTGCTTGCGAAATAAGTACGATAGAGAAGTAAAATATTAATGATTGTGTATCAACATGGCCTCGCAACATAAATTAGCACTCAACATCTATAAATGCATTAACTTTCCAATAAATAATAAGAATTACTCATAAATTTGAGTGTAGCCGAATTAGTTGAGTAGCTGACGACGTATTCACCTAAATTCAAGTCTTACCCTTTTCCTCTATACCCATGCCCAACGGCGCCGCCAGGAGCGACGTCGACGCCACCCGTCGGCCCGAATGACACTGGGCCGGACCCGGTCAACGTGGTGTTGGGCCCAGGCCCAGTAGCTATCCTAGTTGAAATGGGGCCCGCCAGCTGCGGCTCTTGATTGGGCTGATCCAAAAGATACGCAGACGTATCAAGGGTCGGCATGCAGAGGCCGACAACACCGGCCAACCGGCTACCGGGTCTCTGTGGCTCCGGCTTCAGAACCGACGGCATAGTGACTTGTCCGTTACCGAATCTTACGCCGGTCACCTGTTGCACCATCTGTCGGAAGTTGCTCAGGTCCGCCGTGATGAAAGTCGTCTGGGACCGTTTCGACGCGGGAGACTTGCGTTTCGAAACCTTACCACTACCATTCGCCACCGGAATCGCGTTTCTCTGCTGGCGTTTAAGGGGAGCGGCAGCCGAATCCAAATCGTCCGAGCCGGAGAGTCCCGAAACGGTGGGGGTGGGGGCCGCTTCGGGTGTTTGAACGATGGTGTTGAGAAAAGGCATGAAAAAATCGGCGGAGGAAGAATCGAGCGGCTCCGGGTTGTTTCCGGAGAGGGACTTCTGGGGCGCCATGGTGAGGGTTTTGGTGTCGCGGGAAATGGCGTCGGAGATCCAGGAGTCGGCGAAGGTGTTGGGCCTGAAAGCCCACGGCTCCATCATGCTCGCCACGTTCTCTGACGACGCCATTAAGCAGCTCAATCAACTAAAAATTCAAAATTTAAAACTGAAAATTTGAATTTGAGCAACTGGGTTTTTGTGAAATCAATCGGATTTCAGATCATTCTTTTCCGTACGCACTTACAGGAAAAGTCCTAAACAACCCAGCAGGGGTCTTGAAGGTGATCTTCCCAGTTGGAGGGTCATCAACGTAAATGTCACTGAGCTGCACCCACACCAAGAGCTCCTTGGTCTTCACCCCTGTCAGCTTCTTGATCTTGCCCTTCTCAACAATGGCTGTGATCTCAGGGGCATAACTGACCAACTTCCCAATTTTCTCATACTTGTGAGTGTAGCTCTTCTTCTGCTTGAGCCACACAAAGCCAGTTTCTCTGATAATCCCACACTCCTCAACGTCCTTGAGGGGCAAGAGGCCATTGGGGAGGGAGATTTCTGAGAGAAGCTGCCTTGCTTTTTGTTGGCAGATTTCATCTCCATGGTAGAGCTCATCTGCTTTGGACTTGATCTGTGCTGTGATGAGAGAGGACATTTTGGTCTTCTCCCCTTTAAATTTTGTTGGGGATTGTTCTAGATTTTGATGAGAGAGGCTCTCTTCCTTATAGAGCAACAACTCAAGAAAGCCGTACATAAAAAGGGACAGCTATTCGCACACGCTTGTTCATTCAAATCTCCACCGCGCCATAAGTCGGTCGCCTTTTCCAACACCAAGTGAACGTCTAGTAACAAACAAAAAACAACACGTTTGCACAAACAAATTAAGCAAAAAATGGTTCAAGAATATGTAAAGAGATTGTATTGATAAATTAGTTAATTACCTTGGAATAAGACTTCTTGTTAGCAAATGAAACTCTTTCAACATCTCCAAAGGCACCTTCACCGTTCACCCCAACTTTTTCCCCAAAACAAAATATCCTGCAAACCCACAAGAATGGGAGTCCAAATTTTTAAAACTAAATGATATGGTTGTTGATGATCAGATTATTACTTAAGCGTTGATTAACATATTTATTTTCTATTAGTGACACATCATTTAATTAAAATTTTGATATCCCTAGCATTACCCAACCCACAAATATCAACACAAAAGCAAAACCCACTTCAGAATTTCAATCAAAATCCATAATTTAAACAAAAATATGACACGCGCCCAAAACAAGAACAACATCGGGAGTCGTGAGCGTCAAGCCATTGGATTTGGGGACTAGTGCTTATGTATGTGATGTCACCGCACTCCATCACGGTGCACGGCAACCCCAATCCCACACCCAGAAACATGTCATGGAGAGGTGTGGACAGGGCCGGCCCTGAGAATTTGGGGGCCCTAGGTGAGTCTTCAAAGTGGGGCCCTAAAGTTCTTGGACCTCCAACTCTTTGTATATTGGTATGTAGTAAAAAAAAATTTGCTAATTACATAAAAAATATATTTCTTCATCGAATATCATTAAAAATTAATATCAAAAGAAAAAAAATATACTAACATTACTTAATATTCCATGTCACATGTCTTTAGACGCAAATGCACTAAGATTGAGAGTGAAGAGTAATAAAACTTGATGATCAAGAGAGTAAAAAATAATAAAACTTGATTGACAAATATAATAATTCAACAACGCCGAGTGGTTCTCTTGTGTTCTTTCTAAAATCAACACACACTAGCAAATCAAATTTTAGAATAACCTAGTTTAACAACAAATTATTGACAAAGAAAATTTAAATTCAAAGTTATGGTTACCTCAAATTACAATCTTCATGACCAAGTGATAGTTGCTTAAACATTCAATAGAAATAGAAAGATTGGGAAGTTGAAAGAAAAAAGATTACAAAGTTATGATTGTTTTGGTTTTTGTTATTTTTTAGGTTATTTTCAAAAGCAAAAGAAAAAAAAAATGCATTTGGACAAATTGAGGCCATTAATTTCACTAGCTTCTTACAATTGGCCTTTGTATGTTTTTTATTTAAGAAACTCAAGTTTTTTCTATTTATACAATTTTTATTTAAAATATTTTTGAAAATAAATAAGAATTTAAACATAAACCACCCTCTAACATGAGGTTTTTTTTTTTTTTTTTCTAAAGTTGAAAATTTTAAATTCATTCAAAATTAATATATGTTGAATTATTTTAACTCCTTTTGATTCTTGTAACTTTAAAAATTTTAAAGACCAATTTATCTTTAATTTCATAGATTTGAAAAAAGCAAAAACTAATGCCTACAAGGTGTTTCGAACTGCCCACCTCAATGAAAACAGAGTGGAACCGTTTCCACTGCACCAACGAAATAATTGTGATGTTTCTTACGTTTTCTTTATTTATATGTTATAATTATATACAGGAAGTATAAAAAAAATTGGGGGCCCCCCGAACTTGGGGACCCTAGGCGACTGCCTACCTCGGCTACCCTCAGGGCCGGCCCTGGGTGTGGATCAACTCGATGCCGCCAGATGTGAACACCAGCAGCGTTTTGGGATTTGAGATTGTGATTCTTAATGAACTAGGTTGCTGGGATTCGAAGGTGAGTTTGGTTTTGACTTTTTTGTCGAGAAATGGCGAGGTGCGTTTTGATTGGTGAGGACAGAGCTTGGCCGCTCCGATGTAGGAATCCATGTGCTTGCTGATATACAAGATGCAAAATACAACATCCTAAAATGGAAGAAAGTGAGATTACAGAGAGAGGGAAGATGAAGGTGTACAGGTCAAATTACATTTTTATCCTGTATTTAACGAACATTTAACGGAAAAATCTTTGGACTAAATTTGCTAAAGTTGTACACCACCACAAGGAAAAATGATGTTACAATCTAGGGGGAGAATTTGAGCTTAGACCTTTTTTTTCATATTGGAAGATGAATTTAAAATAACTAAATGTTTATCGAAAGAAAAATTCAAATTCAGATGCCTGACAATGCAACAGATGAATTATAATAGAGTTAGTCAATTACGATACAAAAGTTGGGCACAATGAGAAAGGTCTACAAATTCCCCCATTTTGCAAAAAGTATTACGTAAATAAAAGTATGGGACAAGCTTGTAAACTTGGTGTACCCAAAAAGGATAAAATGCCCCATCTCTATAAATTTTCTGTCTCCAAGATATTTTCTTTAAGTGCATGTATTCATAAAGTCTAGGATGACGTGTTAACTTTTCTTAATTTGTAAGATTTTAATTTTTTTGGAAGTTTTGGCAATTTTTTTGTTATTTTGGATCCGTTTCAGATTACCATTTGGTTTGAAGTTACTTATTTTTCACTACATTGACTCTTGTCAATCTAAATTTTAAAGACAACATTGTTCGAGCAAAAACAAATGAACAAACAAATTTTGTTTTCTGCTTGACTATAAGATAAATGTAAATGATATTGTAGTTAACTACAAATCTTTTGTCAAGAGAAATTAAAATTTTATTTACTTGGTTATTATTTTATAATTCACTCATGTTGGATCCATGAACCTACTCTTATAAATTTCATGAAGGGCATGAGTTAAAATTACACCAAGAAAATCTTATCATCATACACGGATAGTCTAGCAAGGATGACATTTTTTTTTTCAAAACATTTATACATCAAATTGAATAACATAATTTTTACGTCTTGGGTTCGATTCCTGATGCTGGTGAATCATGTACTCGATGATAGCAGATGAGGTTGAAATGCTATTTCAACCTGCAAAATAATAGATTGTCGTAACGAAGTTACCGGCTAATCTGTTCTTTAAAAGAACGGAATATTTATAAAACTTTGCTTGCGAAATAAGTACGTAGAGAAGTAAAATATTACTGATTGTGTACCAGCATGGCCTCGCAACATAAATTAGCACTCAACATCTATAAATGCATTAACTTTCCAATAAATAATAAGAATTACTCATAAATTTGAGTGTAGCCGAATTAGTTGGAGTAGCAGACGACGTATTCACCTAAATTCAAGTCTTACCTTTTCCTCTATACCCATGCCTCATAAGTTTGAATAAATAAAAGAGAAATACTAAGGAGACTCTTTCAAAGTAAGACTCTTCATGAACTCCCGGTCACCTCATATTTTTGGCACAACATTTTACAATGTATTGTACAAAAAATATGAGATAACGAAAAGTTCATGAAGAGTCTCACTTCTGAAAAACGCGTATTACAACTATTTCATGAGTAGAGCATAAAAGCCTTAAGCCCAAACTATATTATAGTTGGTTGTTGTCACTTGTCACTCAATTGCATCGGATAACTGTTTTCTGGGATGGACTGGTCAGCTAAACCTCTTTGAGATCAACTGCCTGTCCGAGGACAATGGTTTCCGGGATGGACTTGCAACAATATGCCTGATGCGTTTGCATTCTATCTAAACCATGATATAAAGCCCATCATAGAGCTTTGAAATCTCCGGTTCCAACTACGTTGCTACACTCCACAGATAGTTACGGCATATTCCGAAGGAAAAAAAGTCGGAAGCTGGCAGAAAACAAAAGGGCTCTGTGAATCCTACGACTCATCGATCCCGCTAGAAAACGCAAAACAACTACTCTCGCGCTCAGTTTTTGCATGCACGCTTACACGAAAGATTACAGAACCGATTTTTTTTTTGAAAGGATAAGATTAATCAGGGCAAAAGCCAACGGAACAAAGAAAGCCCACACAAGGGGCAAGCACCGCAAAACAGACAAAGGGTTATGTGAGGGAGAACAACAAAACAAAGACGCTACCACAAAGGCTAGACGTCATCCCAACACACACCCACACCAAAAAACACTTACGGAGGGCAAGGAAGCCCATCTTTGTTGAGAATGTGAACCAAAGAAGATGGGGGTCGTCTGACCCAAGCTTTATCGAACAGAACCGATTTTTAACACGCAAATAAGTTTTGAAAAACCATCAAGGTAGTAAAATTCGTGTTTGGTATATGAGGGAGACATCTTACAACACCTGGCTTCAAAGGACAGTCGTAAACAACGGAAGAACAATCGTGGACATCGGTTCATAGATAGTGACCTGGACAACTGGAGAAACTTTATCAACCACAAAATATTTCGGTGGCTCATATCATCTTTTGATTAACCAACTCAAACTTTGAAAAAATGAAGTATTTGAAATGCCTTTGTTGATAACTTGGGATACATAATAATATCGGATACCAAGCAAAGTTAGTAGTACTTGACATCTTGATAAGCCAAGTCAGACGTAGACAGATGAAGAACATAGTCTGATTGATGCCGTATTATATTGGAAAAACAAAAAACTGAAATTTTTGTCAAGGAATGAACAGAGAAACCTATGGAAGTTGGATTCATCTGATGGTAGGAATTGCTTCTAGAGTCCTTCAGAATTCCGATCTCCTTGAGTCCTTTGTGAAGCATTTCAACCTGCAGGAGAGAGTGATCGGGATAAGATAAGGTTCTCATTGAGTCATTGACTCCGAGAGGATGCAGAAAATGGTTAAGTTCTCAAAGTGAAATTGACAGACGAGGAACAAAATCGGGGACAAAGAACCATACTGAAAAGTTGTGTATTTCTCGAATGTTATCACCAGGTTCACAAAGCTCCACAGATATCTTGTTTGTTTGCAGAATAAGATCGTAGAGCTCTTCCTGAAATACAGACCAGACCTCGCATCGATGAGCTTCATGTATCACTAAGATGCTTCAATGCAATTACATAAGAAAAATAATAATATTGAAGAGTTAAAATAAGATGTTAGCACTCAAGCTCCTGCATGACACTACGTCAAAATATAGACACACGGCGTTCAAATGAAACAAGATTTGTAACAGCATTAACAGATTTAATAAAATGTTCTGGCAAAAACAAGGCAGATAAATCATTCTTTCAGCTTTTGAAGTTGTATAGGTGAAGAAACATTCAATCATCCTTACTTGAGCTGACGAGAAGCTGCCATAGGATGGCCAGATGCGAGTAAGATCACTGACATAGCCACGAAGCTCGCAACCAACATCCTCCAAGACAAGATACTCATTCTCAACAATCCCCATCTTTTATCTGCAAATAATGTACATAAACCCTTGTAAGCAGAAATGGTACATTTGATAATTAGTTCACTTTCTGATCATTCCGATCAGAATGTATTACACTAGCATTGGACCCGCCACAAACCACAGGATTGAATCTGGTTACGGAGAAAGAAATTCGTAAATCCTTACAAAAATTTGAAAACACTGGAGACTGTCTAACAAAAAATAGCATCAAAAACCAATTTCTGCCATTCCACCACACATTTTCAAGTGTAAAAGCGCATATGTAAAGTGGATAAGATCAATAAATTACATTTTTCATATCCGATCATCCAGAACGGGAAAAAGCTTACGCCATTCTCCGGGCACCCTTCATTTTGCTTTCATATTCAATCTTATAGCTGATAGCCTACCCTCAGAAGGATGCGTCTTTGTGTGTAACATTGTCTGCAGTTCAAGCCTGTTCATACATCGTTTAATATAAGTCAGGGAAGAAGCCAACTTTAACCTTATTCAGAGATATCAAACGATTGTGAACTTGTTCAAAAGCTACGACACGATGTTACAAATAGAACTTTTAAACACCGATTCCAACTGTAATACCCCAACACAGTTCATATATAGGATTGTGCAATGATATAAGATACGATATTGGCTGATGAAATGAATAGCAATACAACAGATCCGGAAGTACTTCCCAAGCAACAGACGCAGACTCTTTCATTAACTTGAGCTCCGCCATTGATCGACTTTATCAACCGTAACTCATGGGTGACAACCGAAGCATCTTTCACTTTTCCAGAGAGCTGGTTTTCTGAAACGGATCCAGTTCCGTATATGTTGGTGCAGCCGTCTGCACTTTGTGGAACAATTCGGACGATCGCTTCATAAAATCTGGCAGGATCTGCAGTCAGTAAAAGAAAAAGGCAACGTATATATAATGATACCATGCATGATGAGGAATTCCAGTAGCTGCACTAACTCCCGCAACTTCCCCTTGCAAAAATCCTCGTAATCCTGCCGTAATCTGCTCATTGGACATGCTGTATCTGCCTTGAATACTTCCAATGCTGCACTAGCTCCCGCAACTTCACCATACAAAAATCCTAGTGCTTCAGAATTCAGGATCTCTGTGTAGGGTTTAAGATTTTCAGAGAAGCTTGGGGTTTTAGAGAAAACATGAAATTACTAAATACCCCTGTTTTTTAGGGATTCATTTTTGGGAACTTTAACGAAAAGCTCTTGGTACTAGGGCTGGGCACGGGCCGGGCCGAGCCCATTTTTGAAGGGACCGGACCGGACCCGGAATTAAAGGAGACGGGGCGGGCCGGGCCAGGCATTACAATTTTGAAAATAAGAACCGGACCTTACCCGGCCCGGTTGAAACGGGCCGGTTCGGTCCGGGTACACGGGTCCTTTTTTTTTTTTTCCTGTTTAAAAATGTTTGCTGCACACAGATTGCAGTTTTTACACAGAACAGATTTCACATATTGTAGTTTGAAAAAACTGCACAAATTCCACAAATTTCACAAATTCCACAAATTTCACAGATTCTACAAATTGCAGTTTGAAAAAACTGCACAGATTGCAGTTTGAAAAAACTGCACAAATTGCAAGCAGTGTGGGACTGTGCAGTTGCAAAATGCAAACTGCAATTTGTGCAGTTTTTATAGAGATGCTAATATACACACACATATGTGCATCAAAGAACAATTCAAAAAACTGACCTTATTGACCTTACACATACAGAAGCAGGAACAATTCAAAAAACCCGGAAATATAGAAAAATCACAAGAAATTCATAGCCACAACTTGAACATGGAAATATATATAAGGCATTTCTATAGAGATACTAATATATACACACACATATATACAGGCAATTGCCGATCTGTAAAATTCATATAACCTACATGTATATAAATATAACCAACTCACCAAATAAAAAATACATTGATCGTAGGTGAGCACAAAACAAATTCACCAAGTGCTTACATATAATAATGAAAGAAGAAATGACAAGCTACAATGATAAAGGACTTGAGTCCTCATATGTGCATCAAAGAACAGATTTCTTGATTTGATATTGGTCAAGGCAATTAAGCACATCATTGCTGAAAATTATGAACACATTCATATAACTCATGGATGTACAATTAGAGACACACCTCACCAACACCGACACGAAAAGTAAGAGGCTTCCCACGATTGTAGCTGCTATCAAACACCTTTCCATTCTCCAATTTCCCAACATAGTGTGCCTGTGCATTTGTTTCACAAAATTGTTCAGAACCCACATGCAAAAACACCCTAATCATAATTAGTTAATTACAATTCTTAATATTGTGTTTGCTTCAAGAATTTAAATACATAAACAAGAAAACCCATTTTGTAGAATCCAGTAATAGGCTTTGATTATCTGGAAAAATAAATTCTTGATTAATTACCTTAATCAGCTGTCCTTGAACAGCCTCAGGGCCATACCCCACAACTTTGTCACAGAAATTGAATTGCAAAGCCAATTATTACGGATTCCTTTAACCTCATTTCATCAATCACATGAGAAAATTCACAAAACATTGAGCAGCACAGGGAAGAGTTCAAATATCTATAATATCGTAAGCATTTCCTTTCTTTCTGAAAAAAAATCAAAAGAGGAATATTTTTTATGGCTCAATCATCGATCTACAAATTCTACAAATTCTAACTTAAAACCCCTAAAAATCCCTACACCAGAAATTCACATTAATAGTAAAACCTAATTCAAAATTACCTAAATTTTAGAGGGATGATGGTTGGTACTTGCCTTGGTACTGGTAGTAGCAGTGTCCTCGACGGTGGTGATGGGGTGATGATGGTGGTTGCGACGGCGGAGGTGGTGATGGGGGGTGATGATGTTGGTCGCGACTCGCGACAGCGCTGTGAGAGTGGTAAGGTGAGCACTGTGAGTCGGAGTCGAGGGAAGGGGATAGGGAGAGGGATTCGAGGGAGAGGGAGGGATAGGGAGAGGGACTCAGGGAGAGGGAGTCGAGGGAGAGTCTGAGAATCCGAGAGACTGAGGTATGAGGCTACTGAGAGGATGCTTCTGGAACTCGGGACTCGGGGAAGGTTGGCTAGGGTTGAAAGTTGAAAACTTGAACTGACGGTTGAGATTGCATGGAGAGATGATATTAAATCTCGTCCGTCCAATCTAACACAAATGGGCCGATCCGGGTACCCGCGGATCCTATAATTTTGGAACCCGGCCCGCCCCTAAAACTTCAATTACCCGCCCCGCCCCGCCCCAATCTATTTTTACAAAACTAAGAACCGGACCATACCCGCCCCTTACCCGTATTACCCGCCCCTACCCACGGGTCCATGACCCGTTTGCCCAGCCCTACTTGGTACTGTTTACTTTAACGAAAAACCATATTTTTACACTAAAAAAGTCAATCCTGGTACTATTCACTTTAACCTTTATTTTGTCCTTATTGTTAAAATTCAAAATTTTCAAGATCTTTTCATTAGTTTTCTTTTCATTTTTCCCTACCATTTGAGCCTTATTTGTCCTATGGAGTATGGACCGTTTCGGCCTTTTGATTGAGGTTTTTAGACAAAGAATCATTTTCAATTTTGCGTGCACTATTTTTTTTTTCTGTCTGTACGCTCTCTTTGTTTTTATCTATTAATTCTTTTTTAACTTGTTTAATATAATAAAATAAATAAATAAGAATGTACAAAGAAAAAAAAAGTACGAAAATTATTTTTCTTTTAATAAAAATGAAAATAAAATATATCACTCCGCAAAAAAAATATAACCGTGCAATTTAATTTTTTTATATTTAGAAAAAAAAAAACCTCTTTATGAAATTTAATTTTCAATAAAAGAAAAGAAAAAGAAAAATTAATTATAAAAAAAGACAATGAAACTTACTAGAAGGATTGACTTTAGGATCTAAGTAGGGACAACAATATAAGCAATGAGAGAGAAGATGCTTTGCTTTTGTTTGATAGGAGAGATATTTAAGGCATAATCTTATCTTAATAGCCCAAAGTGCACTTTTATTTTATTTTTTGTTATACTTAATGTACAAAGAGCATAGTTAGTAGCTCTAATTAGATTAACTAAAGACCTAATAAGTCATTGGTTATCTTTTGAGGTCAAGTCTAGCTCAACTTTGCATTTCTTTATTTTTACTTGACTTGCTCAACTCCACGTTAAGTCACATTCATTCCTTGAATTTTAGGTCTATTTCAAATTTGATGAGAAGACAAATACCATAAGAAGGTGAGTTTAGCATCTTTTAATATTAAGAAAATAAATACCAATATACCAATAATTAGTTCGTTCATTGATCGAACTTGGAAAATGGAGTGTTTGATGTACTAAATCACGCAACACATCTGACATATGAAATTGAAAAATAGGGTCTTTGATGTACTAAATTACGCAACACATTTGACGTATACACATTACTTATTACATTAAATCTGACATCTCTAGCATTTTTTTGTCGCACAATTAAGCTGAACTAATGAAAGGTCCCATACACCATAATTCCATTGCTAATCAAAAGAAATTATACTAAGGGAACGAACAAAACAAAACACTAACAATCAAAATTAATTAAAAAAACATTGATATTAAGTCATATAAACAGAAATACATCATCATCCACGTGTCACATGATGGTTCGTCAAAGTCAAACGGAACTCTCCTCACATCACATGACCTTCCACGACTCCAAAGTCGGAAAGCACGAGAACGAGTCAAAACCTAATCCCCCAGACGAAACGCCACCGCCAGGAGCGACGTCGACGCCACCCGTCGCCCCGAATGACACTGGGCCGGACCCGGTCAACGTGGTGTTGGGCCCAGGCCCAGTAGCTATCCTAGTTGAAATGGGGCCCGCCAGCTGCGGCTCTTGATTGGGCTGATCCAAAAGATACGCAGAAGTATCGAGGGTCGGCATGCAGAGGCCGACACCACCGGCCAACCGGCTACCGGGTCTCTGTGGCTCCGGCTTCAGAACCGACGGCATAGTGACTTGTCCGTTACCGAATCTTACGCCGGTCACCTGTTGCACCATCTGTCGGAAGTTGCTCGGGTCCGCCGTGATGAAAGTAGTCTGGGACCGTTTCGACGCGCGAGACTTGCGTTTCGAAACCTTACCGCTACCTTTCGCCACCGGAATCGCGTTTCTCTGCTGGCGTTTAAGCGGAGCGGCAGCCGAATCCAAATCGTCCGAGCCGGAGAGTCCCGAAACGGTGGGGGTGGGGGCCGTTTCGGGTGTTTGAACGACGGTGTTGAGAAAAGGCATGAAAAAATCGGCGGAGGAAGAATCAAGCGGCTCCGGGATGTTTCCGGAGAGGGACTTCTGGAGCGCCATGGTGAGGGTTTTGGTGTCGCGGGAAAAGGCGTCGGAGATCCAGGAGTCGGCGAAGGTGTTGGGCCTGAAAGCCCACGGCTCCATCATGCTCGCAACGTTCTCTGACGACGCCATTAAGCAGCTCAATCAACTAAAAATTCAAAATTTAAACTGAAAATTTGAATTTGAGGAACTTGGTTTTTGTGAAATCAATCGGATTTCAGATCATTTTTTTTTCGTTTTGAGAAATCGGAATTGAGGAAATGGGGTTTCTGTACGGGATGAAAGGGGAGGAAAGTGAACCGTACTGTGAGGATTGACTGAATGGAAAGACTTGGGTTCTTATCATTAATTAGTAAGCAGAGAGAGAGAGCGAGAGAGAGGGGAGAGAGACAGTGAAGGTGGTGGGCGTTTGAGGGGAAGCAGTGAGGAAGAAGACGATGTGCATAAATAGGGCGGTGTGGGGAGAATTAAAAGGATGACGAAAACGCGTTGATCGCGGGGACACGCGTCGTCTGTTCCGTACGCATTTTTATATATCTAAGTAAGCTGCTGTTGCTCACTATAATTGAATAATAATTATGACTTCATTTCAAATTTGCTCCCTCAACTTTAGTGATATTGTCATTTTCGTTCTTTTACTTTAAAAAATTTATAAAGCGAGTTGCAATAATACTGGTGTCAGTTACAAAAACTGACAACACTAGTGGTACGCATATTTCAATTGGTTGTTTTTTGTTCAAGAAAATCACGATATTAACCATATTAGAAACAAAACTTTTCTCAGTAACACCAATAAACATAGATTCTACAAACTATAAAGAAATTAGATAAAAGAAGAATGTTGTATGTTGTGTTTGTCGGTAGAAGAAAAGAACTATGATTTTTAGGTTGATACTTAGATAATGAGTTTGTGAACTAATGTAGCACTGAAATAGTATATTGATGTTTCAATCATATTATTTGTTTATGTCGCTTGTTTCAATCATAGTATTCGATTAGTTTTAGTTTCAACGACCATTCAATTCCAAACCAAATCGACCAATTAAGTTGGTTATTAATGTTAGTCTTTAGCAAAATTTCTATGACAAACTAAAGTGGTTGAGTGTTAATATACATATTTGATCAAGAACCAACACGGTCGATTCCTGCCATTGTAAATCACTCGATGGTGGCCAGAGAATGCTGAAATGCCTTTGTGAGTCTTTTCGACCTTAAAATGAGGATTGCCGTTATGAAACCACCATCTGATCCTTTTTTTTAAAAAAAAAACAAAAATTATACTTGATCAAGTAGTTGAGCTATCAAAATTTTCCTCAAAAGATAGTAACGTGCTAATTTATCTACTCTGATAGCGACAGTCATTACCATATCGTTGTAGGTAGGCGAAAAAATTTACGATCAATTTGAGAGGAAAGAAAGTTGAAGGACCAAAGTGGAAAAATCCAAACGCTTAAGGGGCAAATGGAAAAAGCCCTAATCATTAAATAAACTTAGGCAAACCGTAGCAGCTAATAACTCAACCATGGTTGTGGGCTGACTGGTCAGTAGTAAAGGTGGCGACTTCCCATTGGCTGCCAAATTTCAAGCCGTAAGATAGTGAGAGAGAGAGAGAGAGAGTGACGGTGCAGCCGCGTCATGCTGGCGGACTTAACGCGTAAGCTCGCTTACCGATTTTTTTTAACATTTTTATTTTTCGATTTTATTTTTCAAAAATTATGATCCCTTTACTTTACTGTCAGTAGTAATTGACAGACACTGACTTTGACTTTCCATATAAATCCAAAAATATATGCTTTTTAAGTTAGTTTATTTTTTGTTTTTTTTGGTAAAAGGAAATACAAAAAGCAGGAAGAAATCAAATTTTATCGGAGGAAAAAAAATTAGAGAATCAATCGTGAAACTATCTGTTAAAAACTTGAAACGTGGGTTCGTTTGATAATACTTTTAAAATGATTAAAATTTATTTTAAAGAAAGTGTATTTGGGTGTTAAAAGCACTTAAAATGTTTATGTAAGAATCATTTATTATGTGTTTTTTTATAAAAAACACTTGAAAAACTTTTTCATGATTCACTTGCATCTTTTGTTGAAATATTAGTTTCAAAAAAAGTCTTTCAATTGTTTTATAAACATTGTCAAATGAGTTGTAAGACTCATGCAAATAAGTCTTAAGTTTGAATTTCATCTTCGATATGTCTGTATCATAATGGAACAAATACATTAAATAAACAAAAGGAAGACCATCTCCTTACGCATGCTTATACGTCTTTTTTTATTTGTTTTATTTAGTCCAATGCCACAAATATACAAGTGTTGTTGACCAGAAAAACTAGGGTTCAGAAGTTACATTTTCTAAAAAATTATAATTCAAAGCATTTGGATGAACATTTTAGCTTATATTTTTTTTTAACTTTAAACGTTAAATTGAATAAATTAAAAAAAAAAAGACGGGATGAGTGTGTGAGAGCTTGAAAAAATGGTAAAAGACTGTTTGCTACCCTCATGTTTTATGGTTTTCAACATTTAGTACATCAAGTTTTTTTCGTCTCAGATTCATATCAAGTTTTTTTCGTCTCATATTCATACCTAAAGTGTAAATTTTAGGACAGTCTCATACATCCGTTAGTCAAACTGTTAAATCTGCCGTTAATTGTGATGTGGCGTCATGACTGGGCGTCACGTGTCATCCACGTTTTTTTTTCTTCTTTCTTCTTCTTCCTTCTTCTGCAATTTTTTTTTCTTCCTCCTCCTTCTTCCTTCCTCCTTCTTCCTTCTTCCTTCTTCATTCTTCTTCCTTCTCATTCTCCTTCTTCTTCCTCATTTTTCCTCATTTTTCCTCCTTCTTTCTTCTTCTTCTTCCTCCGATTGCAACTTTTTTTTTCTTCCTTCTTCTTCTTCTTCTTCTTCCTCGAATTTGGGGAAGATGAAGGATTTTTTTTTTTTTTTTTTTTGAGGAAGATGAAGAAGAAGGAAGAAGGAGGAAGAAGAAGGAAGAAAAAACAAACAAAAAGTTGTAGTCGGAGGAAGAAGAAGGAAGAAGAAGGAGGAAGGAGGAGGAAGAAGAAGAAAGAAGAAAGAAGAAGAAAAAAAAACCTTCATCTTCCCCAGATTCGGAGGAAGAAGAAGGAAGAAGAAGAAGAAGGAGGAAGGAAGGAGGAGAAGAAGGAGGAAGAAAAAAAAAACCTTCATCTTCCCCAGATTCGGAGGAAGAAGAAGAAGAAGAGAAGGAAGAAGGAGAAGAAGGGGAAGGAAGAAGGGGGAAGGAAGAAGGAGAAGGAGGAAGAAAAAAAAAGTTGCAGTCGGAGGAAGAAGAAGAGGAAGAAGAAGGAAGAAGAAGAAGAAGGGGAAGGAAGAAGGGGGAAGGAAGGAGAAGGAGGAAGAAAAAAAAAAGTTGCAGTCGGAGGAAGAAGAAGAAGAAGAAAGAGGAAGGAGGAAGAAGAAGAAAAAAGAAAAAAGAAAAAAAACTTCCCTAGATTTGGAGGAAGAAGAAGAAGAAGGAGAAGGAGAAGGAAGAAGAAGGAAGAAGAAGAAGGGCAAGGAAGAAGGAGGAAGGAGGAAGGAGAAGGAGGAAGAAAAAAAAAAGTTGCAGTCGGAGGAAGAAGAAGAAGAAGAAGAAGAAAAAAAAGGAAGAAGGAGGAAGAAGAAGAAAAAAGAAAAAAAAAGAAAAAAAAAAAAACTTCCCCAGATTCGAAGGAAGAAGAAGAAGGAGAAGGAAAAGGAAGAAGGGAAGAAGGGGAAGGAAGAAGGAGGAAGGAAGAAGGAGAAGGAGGAAGAAAAAAAAAGTTGCAGAAGAAGGAAGAAGAAGAAAGAAGAAAAAAAAAACGTGGATGACACGTAGCGCCCAGTCATGGCGTCACAATTAATGACAGATTTAATAGTTTGACTAACGGATGTATGAGACTGTCCTAAAATTTACATTTTAGGTATGAATCTGAGACGAAAAAAACTTGATGTACTAAATGTTGAAAACCACAAAACATGAGGGTAGTAAACAGTCTTTTACCCTTGAAAAAAATGTGTATATAATTTTTTATACAACTATATATTTACATTAAGATAGTAGACGGATAAAATATTTGGGTATTTGTCATTCATGATATTCGAATTTAAAAACTTTTTATTTAAAAATGAAAAAAAAACAGACTGTAATATTAAGTGACTATCATTTATGCCGTTAAAATAGTAGTATTATAGATGGGTCTGGTGGTTTTTGGGTTCTATTGTAATTTTCATTGAAAGTCTGGAGTTACGTGGATAAATTTTGTTTGTGCGTCTAAATTATAAAATTGTTGTGTTCAAATAAAATTAAACAATATGTTTTAGAGCATGAGATTTGCAAAGTCATTCGGCCTTCCAAACCTAAATCCCGAACGACCATGAGATTTGCTCGAAAAGGGTGTTAGTATAACTAAATCCCTATGTTTTAGAGCCAAGGCTCGTATGGATTTATTATAGGGTGTGCTATCCACACACCCCAAATTACTTCTCACACACCCTTATTAATTTCTATCCGTTGATCTTCTTCAATTCATCCGATCCGACGGCCGAAAATTAGAAGGGTGTGTGAGAAGTAAAATGGGGTGTGTGGATATCACACCCCTTTATTATAACGTCCAGTCTACGATTAAACATATAATCTGAAATTATTTTTGGGAAATAGTAGAGCCCATTCCTTAGGAAACATTCGGCCTTCCAAACCTACTCTTCAGTCTCCACACTCGCTATTGCTTATCACTCATTAGTTACTTAGTTGAGACTATACAGAAGGAGACATGCAAAGTCATTGCCATTGGGTTAAGCCCCAGTTTGGGGTTGAGGTGATTTTAAAAAAAGCTCCTATGAAAAAAAGCTGGGAGTGTTTTTGGTGTTTGGTAAACTTAAAAAAAAGGGCTTATTTTGGAAGCTGCTGTGAGAATAAGCTGAAATCAAAGGAAAAAGCTGAAGCTGCAATTTGTAGCTTTGGAAAACTGGTTTTTTTTCAAAGCACATAGAACTACAGTGCTCCTTTAATGAAAAGATCCACTATCAGACTGCTTTTTTTTCCAAAAGCACTTTTACAAAAAAGTTTACCAAACACTCTGCTGATTTATTTCACAGCCGCTTATTCTCACAGCACAGCCGCTTATTCTCACAGCAGCTTTTTTTCAAAGCACAGCAATACCAAACCAGCCCTAAGTATCATCAGCAGTGAGAACGTAGAGATAGAGTGAGAGGCACATCATCCACCAAACGATCGGATTGTCGTCAATTACGAAAATCGTACGGCGGTATAATTATCCTAAAAATTGAATAATCGAACCATTGTATCAAATTTCAACGAACGGACTTTGGAGACGGGCTTAATACATCGAGAACATCTCACTATCCAAAATCCATAAATTTTGACTTTTCCCCATGCGCCGCCATGACAGGTGGTTTCCGGCGATCCGAAACCCATTTTTTCGACTAACTCCAAATTTTTAACTTCCTATATGATTAATTTAGACTAAAATAGAAAACTTACTTAAATTTAAAAATTAGGGGATTAGGGATTAATCGGGTGGAGATTGGCGCGTCGTTTCGGCTAAGTGCATTTAAAAACGATCTTCTCGAGGAGTCTCCTTCGATTCCACGAACCATCGTAATCTTTCATTGAGAAGTTATTGAAAGAAAACCTTAGTAATTCACGCTGTGGTTTCGAAAGATGGTACCCGTTCAGATAAACTGCTAAAAGCTCGAGTATTTATATTGCATTCGCTCCTCTTACAGCGGCACTTGTCTCTCTGTTCTCCCTCAGCGAAAATGAAAGGGGAAAGCTCCAATGCACATGATCGAGTACAAGGGGAACTTCGCTTTGCTTCACAAGATTGTGCAGACTTTTACTGTAACGTGAACAAATGAACAGTGGTACCGGAGAGAACTGTCGTCTTTGCCAATCCTTTTGGAATAAGAGGAGGGTAGCACAGCAGAGCAATTAGTCAAAGAGTATCGACTTGAAGAAGTGAATTCGCCACCAGATATGTGTCATGAATATATTCACTTTGTAGTGGAAGAGGACACTTAAGGAAACTATCTGCTTTGTCTTGTATCACGCCATCCTTGGAGCAGATTCTATCAATGAGACTGGGAATCCAACATACACATGAGATCGATATGATTTTCTTTTCGACAAGATGGAACGGAAGATGATCTGGGCAAACGGTACAGGCAGAGCTTTTTGCATGGCAAGGATAATCTTACTTTCATCATTTGTGTGAACAGGATTGGATGTACCAAGAACGTTGAATTTAATAAAATCCCAAGGACATCCATCTATGAGAGGACAAGAAGATTTCAAAACATGTTGGTTGAATGACTTAACAGATTGTACAAACATCCCAAAATCCTCATCTGAGGTATAAGGTAGATTCAAGACCTTGCTGATGATATTGGGAGTGAAGGTGACGAACTTTCCTCGGACATACACCACTTGACGGCTTTTGGGAAACTCTTTTGGTATGTTACTGTAAAATTCTTTAACCACAGAAAGATTGAACATATCTGGTGGCGAATTCACTTCTTCAAGCCGATACTCTTTGACTAATTGCTCTGTTATTATTCCAAAAGAGGATTGGTAAAGACGACAGTTCTCTCTGGTACCACTGTCCATTTGTTCACGTTACAGTAAAAGTCTGCACAATCTTGTGAAGCAAAGCGAAGTTCCCCTTGTACTCGATCATGTCCATTTGTTCACGTTACAGTAAACGTCTGCACAATCTTGTTAACATATGCATGCTATTATTCTAGTTCATTTGATTTACTAAATTTAATTGTCAGAGAATGTTTACGCTGAGGAACAATTACGGGCCTAACGAAAATCTCAGCAGTAGATCGGACTCCATGAACACTGTTTTGAAGAACAACTGTTGTATGCAAATAACAATTCAAAGCGTTTGTTGCTGTGAGCTCTGAACGCTAAAGATCGTTTGCCTTGCACCGGTGGGTTTAGAGAAACCGGCGAAGAAAGTCCTTAATCCGATCGATGTAAGGAGGACGAGTGGGAATGATATGACCCGAGTCGTGTTCAATGATTAGAGAACAACCATCATCAAATAAAGAAGCAAGATCTCTGCTTGCTTGGTTTGCAATCTGCCTGTCTTTGCCATGCTCACTGCCAAATATGTGGAGCGACGGGCATTTCAACATCGGAACTCTCTCTTGCTCCTCTTCGGACTGCATTAGTTTTGTAAGCCCGAACCCGGAGCACAGAATCACAAACCTAAACTCCATTCCGCCTGCGGTTAATGATCTCCTTTGTGTTTGTTGGGCACAGACTAAAGCAGCTGCCATGGCCGCTCCCTGAGAAAATCCCAACAGTCCGTCAAAGGGTCCCTCCTCAGCATACACTGTTTTGATATATGCTAATGATTCATCAAACCCCGCTGTTTGCTGCTGGTACTGAAGAGGATCAAATGGACTCTCTTCCATTTTCCATTCCCCCCCTTCATTCTTTTCTACGAAATCGGGTGCTACAAACCATGCAAATTTTTTCTTGCAATGCTCCAAGGGCGGTGGTGGACGACTTTGTTGTAGTAGTGATGAAGTTGGTGAATTACAATTGTGATGTGACTCAGCAAAGGTTGAGGATTGGTATATGAATGGCAATTCGTGAGGTGCATCCACAAACACGAGCTCAGCAATGTTTTTGAGTTTCTTCGCTAATGATGCCGTTCTTCCCTTAAAACTCGAGGCATTCTGACGAAACCCATGTAGGCATAAGATTCTTAGTTTTCTTGGTGGAGAGTCAACATCTGCGGCATAATAGTTATTACAATATTAGGAACAAAACAATGAAAATATCAACCTCTACTTCAACTTTTCAGAATCCAAGTGCAAATGCAAGATTTATGCTCAACATAGATTAAGATTACAAACCTTACCCTGTCTCCAAGGCAGCTGAGGCGAGGGCTTAGCATCGGAAGAGACAGTTTCAGTCTCAATTTGTTGTGGAGTTGAACTTAATCTTCCATTTTCGGTGGAAGAAATCAACCGAACACCCTTGTGATGATTCTGGCAAAGCTCACATACGTATACAGAGCCCTTCCTCTGCCGAGATTAATTCAAAAGTTCAGGAACAAGGATTCAAGGTACACGAATCTAGAGAAGTACTACAATAAATCAGGTAGACAGTTGCACACAAAGGATTAAGTTACAAAGCATACCTGGCAACTCTCACAAACTAAGACAAGCATTCTACAATAACTGCAACGGAGGCGTGAAGAATAATCATCAAACGACAAGCCACAGAGAAGGCAGGTGCCCATAATATTTGCATCTGAACTCCCAACGGAAATCCTACAGTCACAATGAAAATAAGTATCCAAACCTTTTTCATTTCCATATCAACCAAAGTTCCGTTCACATTTTCAATAAGATATATATAACAAAAGAAAAAGATCTGATTCAATAGCTAGTATTAACTTTCTTGAAACATATAGATATACATATACATATCAATACTGGCAAGCCAAACACAAATAGGGAAAGTCGTGCCTCCAATTGGCAATCCAACTTGAACAATAAAATGGAATACCAATAATGACAATGAGAGGCATTCTTTGCCTAAAGAATCATACCGATGATCGAAAACAAAGTTCTTTCCCTTGAAAAAACCACCATCTGGAAATTGTTCCAAGTAACGCTGTATTCCACCATATAACTGCATACAAATTCAGATAGCAAGGGAGGATGTCATGAACATCATCAAGTATGAATTTTACTCTATGAAAAAGACTTCTATACAAGAGCATACCTGAAACACGTTCTCAAATCCAGCACCTTTTGACCTAATATAAGCCGATGCCATTTCACATCTGATTCCTCCAGTACAATACCTGTAACACACCAATATATGAAGTGAGCAGCGATGTAACACTGACTGATTATGCAAGAAGAATAGGTAACTAAATCCCTTGGAATTGTTTCTCTGAGAAACTAATAGCATAATCTGCAAGATATTATCAAGACAAGTTATATCAAATATAAGAAAAGATATGACACCAAAAGCCCAGAAAGAATAAGCACTTACATGAGGACAGATTTCCCTTGCAATTGATCAGAGTTATCATCTATCCACGAGGGCAGATCACTGTACTGCCTAATGCCTGGATCCAAAGTTGCCACATTGGGTGTGTTGAATTTCCCAATTCTGGTCTCATATAAGTTCCTTGCATCCAACAGAACAAGTTCGCTGTTGTTATCTATACTCTCTTTGTCAAATTGTCCTGGAAAAATATGCACAAAATTATTTGATACCCTTATACCTGCAAACTAACTCTCAACTTTTCGTCAAAAGTAAAGTATCCAATAACAGATAACTTTGAAAAATGTGCATCGTGGTTCATGGAATTTTGTCTAAATGAGTGAAACTGACTTATACAAATACTATTTTGCAAAAGATTGAATCACAAGTCATAGTAAGGAATGAAGAACTTCAGGCGGTGGGAGTAACTAACCAGCTCTTTCTAGAACTGAATGAAACTCAACCGCGGAGAGATGCTTTCCAGCATCCGAAATGTCTGGTGATTTTAGCAGAGGATTAGAGCTAAGGGTAACCAATTCCTGAGTCCAAAATAAAATTAGGTAAATACATAAACCATATATAAAAATTAGTAACAAGCACAGTGCTCAATTATAACTGAAAATCTCAACACCTCTGCACCAACTAGACCTAATTAACTGCCGATAACTAGAAGAATTTAACCCTTTTGATTATCCAAATCTCTCTCCCAAATATACAATAACACACACTCCAAATTAAATCCAATAAATCAAAACAAAAATCATCGAAATCAGTCATTCGAGAAACTTTAACGGCAAGCAATCACCTTGACAATGCGAACCGAGAGAGAAGTGAACCCACATTCTTCAGCAACCTTGTCATTCAACGGGCGGCCACAAGTCGCAAGCTTGAAGTCAGTTCCATGGAACAAACTATTCGACTCAACCGCGGCAATGTGCTTCCTCAACGCAGATAACTTCCCGCCAACCTAAAAACCAATCCCAAACCATCAACCACAAAAAACCCAGAACGAAAATTCTACAGAAAACAAAACCCATTTCTCTGATTCGATGCATATGAAATTATTTTTGAATTTGGGGGCAATCGTGAAAAGTCCAAATCGGAAAAACGAAGAAAGTGAGAGACTTTACTTACGGTGACGTTGACACCTAGAGGAGAGAGACGGACACGGCCGAGGAGAGAGAGGGAGTTGCAGTTGGAGTTGTAGAAGGCAAAGAGGTCGTCGATGTCTGGGATTTGGGTGTACTTGTAATATAGAAGAATCCCATATTCGTCTTCTTCCCCTTCTTTTTCCTCCTTGTGTTCCATTGTTGAAAGATTAGGAAGCTCTCAGCCTGAAGTTGCAGGGTTTTATTGACATGAAGGAGCAGACCGCAAAAATTTGGGCTGGGCTGGGTCGAGGCCCTGCTGATCTGACTAATTGAACCCATAGAGCTCTGTCCTCGAGCGGTAGCAAATTTTGTTTTGGATGAATCTAGGTATCCCCGCACGTAGGCGATCACTAATCCCTCGAGCCGGGTCGGACCTCAATTGGGGGGCAAGCTCTCCCAATGATGACTATTCCATTCACAAGGCTCGAATTCGAGACCTTGTTTAGAGCAACTCCACCGGGACAATTAACCCGATGGACCGGCGACTTCACCAACCCAATAGCCATAGCTGCAAGCATTAGCCCATAGGGCGATTGGGCCGGGGGGGTGCCCCGAGTGGAGGCTCAGTTTGAATCGGTGGCCCAGGAGCCCGAGGGCCAAGTGATGCAATGTTGATGTCAACCACTATTTTATTATTTTTGTGTCAGGTGCATGGGGGCGCGTCCCAACAACATTTCAGAAGCCTGTGGCTGTAGTGCAGAAGGCAGAATGTTACCGTTGGTAGCCACGTGGCCTTTTCTAGTTTGTTGCATTTCCAACGATAAAAAAAAAATTGAAACCTTTCTAAATATCAGTCGTTGGATTTGAGATCAACGATCCACGTTATTTGCATCTCAGCGTTCTTCAGAAGCCTTTGCAAGTCCATCTCAGTAGGTCTCCGGAGGTACTCTAAGGTGTAGGTAGATTCGATTGCAGAGCAAAACCTCATCAACTTGGTCTGCAGATGCTCTATATGCAAGCATTCGTAAGGCAGCATTAATTTTTTGCTCAGGAAAGAGACCCATAACACCAAAAACATCATTTTTTTGCATAAAGTAAGAATCATGGTTGCAAACAGCAGTCATGATTTTGTTGAACAAATGTCGTTCCATTCTAAAATGACGTCTAAAATACGTATTAGGGAATGCACTGTTACAGACAAAATAATAGTCCAAAAGGTTCGTACCTCGTCGTTGCCTGCTTCTATCAAGGTTTGCAGAATAGCTAGGCCTAGAAATCTGAGCCATAGCTTGGATGACTCAACGGGAATATGACGCTCTTTGGCTTCTTGCTTCTTCATCTCTTATTCTACGCTCCTCATCCTCATTTTCTTCCATCACATTTTTGCCCACCTAGAGATTGAAAATTTCTTCCCCTTACTTAAACAATTCTTACTCTTGCTCATCGATTTCCCACAACATCCTTGAAGAAGACATTGTAGAAGGAAGCAGAAACCATGAATAATGATAGAGATTTTGATTTTGGTATGTGATTTCTTAGGATTGATTGTGGGTTATATGGAGGAAAAAGAAAGGATTAGGTTGTAGATAATGTCACGTGGCATGTTGTCATTCGTTAAAAATCTGATCAAAATATTTTCAAAGATTGTAAACAAATTGTGACATGTGGCGCGATGTAATTGGTTAAAAATCTTATTGGAAATCTATCTTCAACTATTCTGAAAAGGTAACGACACGTGATACGATGACATTAGATAAATATCTTATCGAAATCTATCACAAAAAATTGTCTTCTCCGATAATGACACGTGGCGCAACGAAAACGATTACAAATAAAATTATTTTGTATTATTTTATAAAATAAAAAATACAAATATTTTATTGTCTATTGCCATGGCTATTCAGTGTAGGGGTAGAGATGCAAAAGGCAGTTACTGTTCATTAAAGACAGTTATTGTTCATCGGAGGCTATTCAATAATGACTTGCTCTAGAGGGCCTTTGCAAAGCTGGATCTTGGCTTCTCAAATAATGATACTTCCGCCATTGCCTTCCCACGTTTCATGTTGTTGTTGCTTCCCATTGGCATTCTAGTCGTGCTTATGATCTTGGCTTTCACGCCTTTAATGTGAGGGATTTGACTTATACATACGCATAACTAAATAAACAATTTTTGCTTACCACACAAATCAAACCGAGAAAACCCTTGTGTTCATGGGTTAGTTTTTTTTTTTGGGAAAATTAAACGAACCCTGTAGGACATTGGGCTAATCTTAGATTTGATTTTGGTTTTAGGATTTGTTTTCAAATTCTTTTTTTTTGTCTCTCAATTTATATTTTATGGGTATATTAGTATTTTTATATTAACATTTGATTATAATTATCATAAACTTAAAAGAATGGCTATTATTCTATATAGGGTTCGAAGTTTGGTTATTTTTTCAAATTTCCCCATGCAAATCTATAGGTATTAAAAAATTCATAGATTTTGAAGAATTTCCTTCAATAAGAGATTTTGTAGAATTTGAGAATGAATGATAAGCATAACAAAATCCTACCTCTAACCCTATAATTTCTTTTCAACTCCTCACTTTCTTTTTCTCTCTCCCCACATTGCAACTCGAGCTTTCTGTCTTTATCTCTATTTTCTCCGAGAAACCCATCTTTCCTTCCTTCCTTCTGGCGTCTCAGCCATCCACCTCATCCTCTCAATATACAATCAATATACCATTGTATACATTCGTACAATGGTATACAATCAATATGACTTGAAGAAGGCGAGAAAGGGGGTGTGGATAATTGAAGGGTTTGAGTTGCATTTGCTGATGGACTCCTTCATTTTTCCTACCTTTGCATCATCCATTCCTCTCTCTCGAATAAGAGGAATCACATTTTAGAAAAAAGTCAAAAGCCGAAAGCGCTTTCATGAATGAATGATTATTGTGGTAGGTTTCTACTGTGGAGGACCATGGACATGGAGGATATGGGTTACTTGGGAGAACTGGGCACAGTTCTTCATTTACTTTCAAGTTTAATCTTATTTTTTATTTAAAAATAAATTTTAAAATGGCAAGAGAGTCTCAAAATCCATTCAAATCTTTAATCAAAGTCCATAAGAATCCTTTCAAATCTTTAATCAAAATCCATAAGAATCCTTAAAAATCTATTTGAAAGTTGTAAGGATTCTACAATCCTTTGAAATCTGTCACTTAAAAAAGTCTTTTAAAATCATGTGAAATCTAAATTGACTACACCTCCTTAATTTTCTGTCTTCTTTAGTGGTGAATGGAAGAAGATCCCACCTCGAGAATTTCCAATTTTGGGCACCATCTTTTAATTTTGGAGAAAATTTTCATTGTGACCAAAACACGGATGATAATGTTTTTATATAATTGGCGGGAAATTTTATTTTTTAAGTTATTAATTTTTAACACATATATTCCATCATTTGGATAATGACACGTGATGTACGGTGTACCATCCCGTGTTCCGATCACACTAAAAAAAAGCTTAGGCATACTTGACCACTTGTCCTAATCTGACCAACCTCACTAATGACTAAGACCTCGGGCTATGTTTGGGTGACGGATTTCAAGTCGTGATTGAAAACCAAATTATAAATGAAAACAAAATATTGGAGAGGAGGGCTAAGAAATGTTCTCTCCGTAGAGCATTAGAAAGACATGCAAAGAGGAATTTGCAAGTGACACCTTCCGAGGAGGGATTAACTAATTCCTTTCATATGCCTTTGTGATGCTGATACGATGCATTTCCTAATCCCCTCCTATATTATACAACATTTTGTGATATTTTACATTTTAACTTGGCTTTCATTCCATTTAAACCTAAAAATAATTTGGAAAAAATATACACAAAATAAAGATCGATAATCCAGGATTCCAACAAATAATGAAATAACACAGGAACAAACATATAAGCAGAAGCCATCATTTTAGTTCTAATTCCGCGTAAACACGAGTGACAATTCTTACTACTCGAAGTCTTGAAACGCAAAATAAAATGGACGACAGCCGCTTGTAGCCGTAGCACTTGTATCAAATTCAATAGACGAGCCTATGTGCCAAGCCAAAAACCCTGGCCCTTGGCAGTGAGGGAAAATCTGAATGAGGTTTTGGCAATTCATCGAAAGGTGGTGAAAAACCTACCCTGCTAAAAACCTAAACCACATCTGTTCATCCAAAAGTGAAGCCGCCTGGGGGAGGGTTGGGCTGGTTTGTTCCGAAAGTAAAACCTTGTTGAGTTCCATTCCCATTCTCCTGGACTTCCTCATCTTCCTCGGTCCAATATCTCTCCAAGAGCTTGACAGCCTTCTCGTAAATTTCATGGTTATCATGTGTCTGCAGATTCTCAATCTTATCCGACCCCTCGCATTCATCGATGAGTTGTGCATAAAGATTGATCCCGCCATTCATTCCCATTTCTTTGTCAGCCTCACCCACCTTCAGAATGTTCTCAAGACCTTCAAGGCACACTGTTACAATCCTTGGATCCGGGCAGATTAGAAGATCGCAAAGCGGTTTAATACAACCTTGGGCCACCAAGAATCTGCAAGAAACAATCATCTTTGTTAAATATCGGAAAATATATAACATTAGCACAACCGCATAATGAATCTAATAGAGCATACTGTATTTGTTCATGAGATCCTCCAGAAGTGGCATTTGAGATAGCCCATGCAGCCTCCTTTTTTATGTCGAACTCTGCATTTTGGAGAAGTTGCACAAGTGGGATGATGATACCAGCATCTATCACAGCCTGTTAAATATACAATAAAATGTAAAGGGTGTATCAAGAAACATCGTCCAGATCAAATTAATTCTGAGAGAAGCTACAGGATCAAGTAAACTTCCTCGCATCAAAAGGTATTAAGCACATATACATTTGCAGAGGCCACACAACTTCTAAAGAAGTATAAGTATTTTCTTTGCAAAGTAATGATATAACTTGTAGGAAACAAAATACGTCAAAGCAAAGTAGAAGTGTTACCAAATAACTAATTAAAAAAAATCTCTCTTTCCTTGTGACAACTAGCTATGAATACTGTATAGAGTGCGGGGATCTTACCTAACAATTCCCCAGCCTATCTTCCACTAATTAAACGAGTTATGCCGCACATCATTCTACTTGTAGAGACGATTATGCAACACCAGACCAGACATCCACCCAAAACACAAACACTGTAGTATAGTGGATTTAATGGGTGCCATGCTTGATCAAATGCAT